GGCATGCAGTAGAAGAAAGGAGACAAGGGATCAGTAAAAGTGTATAAGGTGTGAGGACAGAGGGGGGAAGAATACAGGTGTTATGTCCACCCAGAGGTTAAACATAGAATTGCCATCACTGGTAAGAGTAGTCTCAGTGACACAAGTTTGTGCTGTGCTTGTGATGCTCTAACTCCAGCTGTGATACTGACCAGCAGCATGATCCCACATTTCTGATTTTGTTTTCAATTTTCACCAAACTTTACATTTTCCTTTGGAAGCCTGCATCAATCAGTGTCTGTGTCTGGTTTCTTTTTGTTGTTTTGTTTTATTTTTAAAACAGGTACTACAGCCACCCTGCTGTTAGTGGAAGCAGTACTATCTTCTCTTTAATTTTCTTTTTTATCATTATTATTTTTAAATTTTATTGGTATGTAAAATGGAAGATCACAGTTTGCTGTACATGTTAATTTTGGATAGAGTTCAGTACCTAAACGAGGATTGAGATTGCAAGGGTCACTGTCTTGTTTTAACAAGTTTTGGCAGTCTGCGTTGAGTTTCCAGGAGTTTCCAAAATCTTCCAGAAGAGCTTCCACCATGCCAGAAGGTGTCAGAAAATCATCTCCTTGGTTACCGTTGTAATTTCCACACAGCCCACATATCCTTTCTGAATAGACTGGAGACAGCTAAGGAACACAACATTAACCTGGTCATCCTCCAGAACAGGTCACCACTGTATAGCAAGATTTTCTAAAGAATGAACCATACACAATTTAACAATCAAGGAAATTCTTGAACACATTAAAAAATAACTACAGACACAGTTTCATTGCACTACATCTTAAAACTTCTAACAAAAATGCCACTATTAGTAGCATCAGGACAGTTTTTGCACAGTGCAGTGATAATTTCAGATGGTAAATGAAGGTGATAAGGAGAAAAATGGTTTACTTTTGTGTCTTGATCAATATTGTTCTAGTAGGAGCTGTCAGTTAAAAGATCTGGAACATCATAAGTCCTGCTAACTGTCCTCAGGAGCTGACTCTGTAATGCTACAGTAGATCTAGTACTAGTAGTAGTGCTGCTTTAATCAGACTGGCAAGGGCAATCAGTGAAAAAATCAAAAAGCTAGAAAATAGCACTTTGGAAGAAAATTTGTTTTCTTTATAATTAAAAAAAAAAAATCCTCTAAAATATAACCTAATACTACCCTCCCTTTGAACCCCATGGTCAGAGGGTAAAGATGGAACACTGAAAGGAACAGCCATGAATTATTAGAGGAAATGTATCCTTAGCACTCTAATGGCCAAGAAAGCTGCTTTTTCACATACTCTACAGACAGCCAGTGACTCCTACAAATCCAGATTGTGATGTGTTTTTGAGTGGAAGCTCAAATCACAAACATCAGGTGGTCACAGAAAGAGGAGCTTTCTTAAGGAACATAGAATTTTCACCAGAATTCTGGCCAAGGTGATGGAAGTGTATCACTTCCCCCAGTTGTCAGAAATACTTGGCAATGGGTCAGTCTGCAAATCCAGCATGAATCAGCTCTCCAAATGCAATTAAAAAGATGCTCCAGATACCCAGCGAGGGAAGGAGATCAGAGCAGAAATGAATAAATGCAGATGATTGGAAAAACTTCCACCACTTCTATGGGTAGAGAATCTGGAGCAGAAAATTAGATTGTTTTTAACTGTAAGAAAGAATTTCCCAGGCTATATGGGTCTCTGACCAGGCAGACAAATACTGTGAATACTGGAAAGCAAAAACTTCTGAAATGTGCCAAGGTACTGAACTGAATTGTTCTCAGCCCAAAAACAACTTCTGGAACCCCCAGAGCACAGAGATACAGGCTAGACTGAAACAACAACAAAACCAGGGATTGTTTTAAAGTTATTCTCGACCTTTCTTCTCTGTTGCCTTTTCAACTCTTGTACTCACTTCCGAACTAGCTTTCATGAACTTTTCCACTCTGCCAGATGTAATATTTAAGGCAGACTTTGGGGCAGGCAAGGAGAGTGCAAAAGCAGTGCCATGGTTCAGAGAGGGCAGCACTGACTGCTTGATAGAAAACCCCAGAAAACAGGCTTTCTTGGCAAAAGTTCTCAGTGAATAAAGCCACAGATCCCCTATTACAACTGGGGCTTAAAGGCAGCAGGGCTGCAGTTAAGCACCTGTCCATGCAAAGGCAGCAGGCACGGGCAGATCTGCAGGCACCCAGCATCACGTGGGAGCACATCACCCTGACTTAGCACCCATAGCCTGCAGGTCATCACACCAGGAAGCAACACTGCAGGGGGACTGATGTTGTTGAGGGAGCAAATACACCCTCAAGGGCAACACTCACATTCCCTGAGATCTGCTGATAGAAGAAAATAGCCTCTTGTACAAGCAGAAAGTGCAATAGCTGGCTTAGCTGGAGAAGCTGTGATGATTTACAAGCTATCAGGAGACTATTCCATAACAAATAATCTTCTCCTTTTCTCTCACAGGCTTTCTGTGCTGTACATCATTCTGCAGCTTATAACACACGCACAAGGTGGTTTACATGAAGTATTTTGCTGTTGCAGCCACACTGCTTCCCTTACAGCTCATTTCTTTTAAATCTGGTTTGGGTATTTCTACACTCCGCTGCCATCTGCAGCACAGACAAACCCTAATTGTTAATCAAGGGTGACTTTAAACATTCCTCACAGTAGAAAGAGCATGCAACATATCTTCTATGAGTTAATTGATTTTTCCTGGAAATTATGAGTAACTGTGTCCCTGGAGCCATATTCTTCCCTTAAGTCATACAAATCCATTGTTTTAGACAGGACAATCAAAGCAAATGAAAGCAAAAGTCCAGTTTGGAGGGTATCTGCTGAACAAAACTATTCACGGTTAATAATAGCTGTCATTGCACAAAAAATAGAGGAGAAAAAAAACCCCTAAGCTGCTGTAGGATGAAAATGTTTGTTTCTTAAATACAAAAGGACCTGTATATCACTCCGGGGGCAGCGAAAGAGAATGGAATTTCTAACATGCAAGACAAAGCAATTTCTCACTTCAGACAAGAAAATCTTTCTGTATGTTTGCGTGGGACAAAGAGGGGGCAAAAAGACAGAAATAAAACAGAAAGAAAGAGTACCTTCACTAGGAGTTCCCCACGACCATCCCAGTCAACCTGCAAATCTTCCCCATAGGAAAGGCGGACTGAAGTCCTCGTCATGCGCTGGATGCGGAGGGCACCTTGGGACAACCACAAAGTGTCAGTCAGTGAGGCCAGGATGTGGTGTTTCACTGCCTGGGACTGT